TCATTGTGGGAAATTCTACTACCAGTCCTTCATCACCTTACACGAAATAGGGTGAATACATCTCATTAAATAATAATATTTCCTCAGAATAGAGTTTTGACTATATACATGCGTTTAGATGATCTATTTTTATAATTTAAGTGGAAAAAGAGTTTAATAATAATAATAATAATAATAATAATAATAATGTATCTATTTATACTTAATTGAGTAATTATAAGTTACTGTTCTCAAAATACATTATAGTCTATTCTTTACTATTTTATCATATTTCATTCTCGCAACATCATGTTCAGTCCACTTTATTAGATTGCAGTTTGTCAAAATTGAGACTGTTAAGAAGATTTTCATTTCGTATAAACGTGCACGATAAAGGGCTTCGAAGACCACAAAACCTCCTGCCTGTATCAGGCGAAAACGGGATAAACTTTTAATCACTCTTATTTACGATCGGCATTGCGGTTAGACGTCAACACACACATACGCATACAAACTAGCCGAAGTCGAATGTTCAATAAGAAAGTAAATTAGCCAAACTATTCTATTACTGTCTATGTCTATATATTTTCGCTTTTTAGTTGTAAATATGTATGAGCAATAAAATAGAACTGGACAGTCTTTTTGACCTGTTGTTGTTGACTCGAGTCGTTTACAAGAATGAATTCCAGTTCTGATGATACCCTTCAAATGATGGACGAAAGCTCAGTCCGTTTTCACCAGAAACGAGACAAGATGTCTATTACACTGCGTCAATCTAAACGTCGTGTTACACGGCTGCAGTACAACGGAAATCAGACATCTTCTTAATGCACTTTCATACGAAATGCAACTCCCCATAATTATAAAAGTGGGTTGATCTCGATGTCGCAACTTGGTCTTGTTGTCAGGGCGACTTGGTGGAGCGCAGCAAGTCCGAAGTCGTCTGCCACAATAGTTGTCATGATTGCCAGCATCAGATAGTGGACTTGGTACATTCTGCAGAACGCCTGTCGAGGAATCGACTTCACTTGTCTCTTTGACGAGTTCGTGTCTTGGTGCGGAGAATGGTAGGGCTCACTGACGATGCCGACTACGATGCAGACGAAACGTTTGAGAATATACCAAGTTCACTGTCTGATGCTGGCAATCATGAAAACTATTATGGCAGACGACTATGGACTTGGTGCGTTATACCAAGTCGCCCTGACAATAGGACCAAGTTGCGACAACGAGGTCAACCCACTTCTCTGAATCGAAAGGAGACAGCGACCATACCAGAAGCCACAACATCTTGGTATTCATATCCTCAATTAAAGAATATTTACTTATCGAAGATATGCTGACCAAGATGTTGTGGCATCTGGAAAGGTTCTACCAAGTCGCCCTGACAACAAGACCAAGTTGCGACAACGAGGTCAACCCACTTCTCTGAATCGAAAGGAGACTGCGACCATACCAGAAGCCACAACATCTTGATCTTTATATCTCCATAATTATGTTGGCATAAGAGATTCATCAAAGCCCAGTTACTCTTTATATCTACAAAATCGCAATTGTCACTGAGTGCAACTTGGCGCTAAGAGGGTCTCGCCTCAACGACGATGTAAATCATTGATCAGGCCATGAGAATGCAGGTGGTCAATTTCTCGAAGCCATGATTAGGAGAGCATCACCAACCGACTTTTGGTGATGCTTTGGAAGCATGTCTATATACCTTTGCAAGAAATGGGAAAGGAGTTGTATCCAACTCTCTCTAATGAGAAGTGATGAACCAGATTAATTTGGATATCGACTCAATTCTGTGCTGATTTACATTCTGATGAATCTCCTGAGAGTACATTATTTTAGTTAATTTAATTTTGTTTGCATTATGAAGAGATTCTAAGGTCAATCTCTCTGCCATATTCCTGTTGATAATCGTTTGATTTTTAATTACTTCAAGTAGAACGTAGTCCAGGAGGCATCCTTTTTAGGTTTAGATGAAAATGGGCTTATTTGTTGTCCATCATGCCACTTAATGGGCTTAATCGAAGTTGGCCTTCACTCTTGCAAAACGTCAAGATGAAATTGAGTCACTAAAACCAACCGGTTCAATCCTACGCTATATATTATATATATATATAAATAAATAAAATAAAAAAATAAATTTATATGCGTGTTTGTATGTGTATTCACGGAAAAAAAATAGCAACGCAATAATTTGTTCGGACCTTTTTATGCTAATTTAAGTACTTTTCTATTTGTTTGTGTGCGCATGTAAGTCAGCTCTAACATCCAGCATTTGCAACAGAATAGAAGGTCTGCAAATTTCGTTTAAATTTTTTGCGTTGACAATGGATTCCGTGTTTTTTGCAGCCATCATTGAGTATATGTACATTATCTTTGCGTTTCTATCTATTAGAGATCCATTCTTCTCATAAAAGCTTGAACATATCTTGCTGCCCAGCATACCATTAATGTGAAGTTATTTAAAATTCGGATTATTTTAAACGAATCTTATTTTATCCTACATCCCCAAATTGATTCAAATTTCTATTGAAATAATATTTTCCCGCATTCCGAGTCCCAATAGGGCAAATCGGCTACTGGACCGGTAAAATGGAATTCCGTAGAAGCAGGTAACGACTGATTTTTTTTCATTACATTTTCTTTTCTACTTATTTTCATGCAAGTTTTGCCCTCTTCGGCCCTACTGCTTTGAGTTGAGATTCATGTTCTTTTTCCCAACTCATCTTGACTGCTGCATTCATTTTTGTCTTCTCCCAAAAGATGGACACACTCGCGGTTCAGCCAAATACCGGCGACGAGATTGCCCGTCAACGTCAGGACCGACTGGCCACAGAAAAAGAGGTGGCTCGTCTCTCCAACGTTCTGCAGTCGCTGACACGCTCAGCTTTGCCGCTCGGCAAACTGATGGACTTTATTCAGGAAGACCTGGAGGCAATGCAAGCCGAACATGAGCGTTGGCAAGCTGAAGAGAAACGGCTGAGGTCACAGCTACAGACTGAAACCAGGTATTATAGTTATTAATATTATTTAATTTCTAATTATCCTGCACAATTGGGCTTTGACTTGATCCACGCATCTTCATGAGGCATCAGCCTGAATTGAACGGAAATTATTATCGATATAAGTAGGTTTTGAGACTGTCGGTGATTGTTAAATAAAAACTTTGTCAGCCTAAGTTGCTAAAGGTGATTTATAAACGGCTAATTGATATTTCGCACAATTAAATACGTTATTTCTAAGAATTACTCATATTATCGGTTACTACTTATATCCTAATCAAGTAACGTTGTTGAGTAAAGTAGAAAAAATGATTACTTATTGTGACATGACTTTTCATTTCGAAGGATAAGTTGGTTAGAAAGAATTCATGATGTGGTCTCACCGGTAACCGAATGAAGATTGCCACATATGCA